AACTTAGGCTGATGTTCCCTCCCCACTCCCTCATACCCGCGGAGATTCATGCAGTTGCACAAAAACATGATTCCAAAACTCGTTTTTTCTTTCTTCCTCTCTCTGTCAGAGAGGCGAACAGATCCCGAATTCTAAAACTCTCATAGTTATGCTGTAATTAGTGAATTTGCGACATTGTTCTCCTTATTAGTGATGATTAGGCTAACAGGTTGTCAGAAACAAAGTACCTTAGATCAATCTGAGGCTTGTTATTCTTCTTGAAGACAAGACACAAGCACATTGGATATCCATGCATGCTGATCATGGGAAAAACAAAACAATCCCACTGGAATCACATACAGAGAATTTAAACTTTCCTCATCTGTTTTCACTTTTTCACTCTGGGCTTCAAAAAATATTCCACACTTATCTCCAAGTCCAGCCTGGCTGCTTGATTTGCCTCACTACTCCCTCGATCTCCCTGAACATGTGAAATTGCTTCATATCAGCCGTGTTGCGGTGACTAAACAAGCCAGCATCTCAGCTCATGCTACAAATTGTTTGGCTTGTAAGAACCGTTGGAGGAGGGTGGGGGGGTGGGGGGTTACAGGGTCCATAACCGTCTGTGTGTGCTCTCCCGAGGCACTCTGCCTGTAATTTAATTAGCGCACAGGAGCCAAAGTAAAATATTGACCTTGTAAGGCTGCCATACCTCTGTACCTGCTGGTATCTGAGTGAAGAGATGAATGGGCACAAGTTCCCCTCGGTGCACTCTTCTTGCTTTCACATTGCACGCTCTCTCACCTGCTCCTGCTGTCTGTTTGGCAGTCTCTTTCGCACACACGCATACAAACTTTGTGAGTCCTGTCTGATCTCTGCCGCTGCCTTCAGCAGACCACACGGCAATTAAAAGTTACAGATTCACATCTGAATCTGCTGTTTGTTTGCTCATTCCTCTAACACATATGATCTATGTTGAGTAGACGCAGTTCTTTCCCCTGGATTCCACTGATAATTGATCGATAGGAGGGTTATAAAATATCCAGAAATGAGTGTTCAACTACCGAGCTACAACAAAATCTCCCTTGTATGGTTTGCATTGCAACGCACTGGCCAGAAACAGGAGGCCCCTAAAGTCTTTTTTTGTTTTCTTTTGTACAGCACTTTGTGATCAATATCTTGAAAGGTGCTATACAAATTAAGTTTCACTTACTTAAATATTGTAATAGTTAAAAAGCATGGATAAGATAGATGTCTTGATCTAGTTCAGTGCACACAGCCACAATCATTTATAATCTGTTGACTTGACAGTTGTCCAGATCACGATAGCCAAACTTTTCAGCAATCACATCCTGTGTAAGCCACAGGATGTGATTGCTGAAAAGTTTGGCCTTGTGCAGAGTGCTGTACCTAAGCATATTAATGAAAATGTGACTGGAAGGGAAAAGTGTGGCAGGAAAAGGTGCACACGCATCAGGGATTTGGCGCAGCCTTGAGAAAAGTTGATTCAAAAACTTGGGGGAGCTTCACAAAGTAGGGAAGACATGCATCTTTGGGAAAGGGGTTACAGCTGTCGCATTCCTAATCAAACCACCCCGAACCAGCGACGGCATCAGAAAGTAAATGACATAAAAGTAAACACTGCAATTTGAAAATCTGGAGGAAGAGAGGAGAGACACAGAATCCAAGGGTTTTGAGGTCCAGTGTGAAGTTCCTGCAGTCTATGCTGATTTAGGTCACCTTGTCATCTGCTGGTGTTGGTGGCGGTTTGTCCACTGTAGTTTATCAAGTCCAGACTTCAGCTTTCTACCAGGAGATTGCAGAGCACTTCGTACTGCTATTGGCTCACGCGCTTTATGGAGATGTTAATTTCCGTTTCCAGCTGGGCTTCCTTCCCACATTACCAACACTACCACCTCATCATCTTATCTTATTGATTGGCCAGCCAACTTGTCTGATGTTAATCCCACTGGAAATCTATAAGCTGCTGTAAAGAGGAAGAAACACTCAACCCAAAAATGTGGATGGGCTAAAAGCTGCTGTGCTACAAGCTAATCACCTCCATACCACACTCCACTGATGATGAACATGATTTCCAGAAGTTAGACATCTCTGTGTTGTAAATCCTTCTTCACTGATCTCGGAACTTTGCATGTAATAACTATAGAATGTATAAATTTTGAATACAGTCAGAAAAAACTTTTATAACAATGCTGTTGATTTTGTGTCTTGTATTAACATCGGCTGGGCAATGCAGTGCTGGTCAGCTTTCGTGGTGCTGATTGCAACACATTTTAATCCTGCAACTTTAGTTATTGAACTTCTTGTTATTCTTGGTCTTACTATTGCTATTATTGGTCTTAGACTACGTCCACATGTACACGGATATTTTTGAAAACGCAGCTTTTTCTATGTGTTTGGGCCTTTCGTCCACACAGAAGATGGCTTTTTCGATCACTAATAAACTGAGATTTTCAAAAACTCAGTTTTTGCATTTACGTGTGGATGAGGTAAAGGAGAT